ATGACAATCAATGTACTAACCAACTATTCTGAGCTTGGCCAACCCTATAAAGCTGTAAAATTTGGTTATTTCAAAATCTCTTTAAGTGCCATCACATTTCAGCCTGTAACATTTGAGATGTTAGGAAAAGAAGACTTCAGGGTTTATAAAATCAGTCCTAGCCATTTACCAAATACTTTAGAGAAGAAATTGGCAACCTACCTTTTGCTCTTTGCTGTTGTTGTTTTGAAGGAGAATGCAAAAGATAAGAATTCTCATTTATATGACAAAGTTAGAAAATTAAGGAGGTGTTACACTTTTCTTGGATAAGAAGTAAACATTGCAAGTTCTGAGTTTTGTATTTTGAGCCAGGAAATTATAGCCTCATTCAAAATCAGCTTATAAATAGCCTATCCAAAACTGAAACAGAATAGAATAGAACTGAAGAAGCTTCTTGGATGAGAGGTGAAACGTTTTCAAAGGAAAAAAAAAACAGTCCAGTTGCTTTTTGGAAAAAAGCACCTTTGAGACAACCATGACTGGATGATTGAGAATCTCCATAGACATTCAAGCTATCCAAAAGTTATCTGAATAAATTTTAACCCATGATCAGTCTCCTCTGAACTTAGTTGAAAGTTTGCCTGTACCAGAGATTTTAGTGCTGGATCTCAAGTATTGTCCTATGGATTTTGAAGGGATTATTCTAAAGTGAAAAGTTTGAAAGTCTAAACTAACATTAAATTCCTAAACTATAGGTGCTTTTTGGTACATCTCATCAAAATAATAATCTTGTATTTTTTGTTCCATTAATAAAGGAACTACAATCTTCACTGGAAACTGTTGTTTTGGCTGACTCTCTGCAGGCCCCTGTAAATGATTGCCAGATTGTAATGACTTGAGTTAATATTCTTGTTGACTGATTGCTATTCTCTTGTGACTATGTACCCTTTAATAGTCCTATAAATATTATAAACCAGATTTCTCCAGGTTGTTGCCCTCTGGTCATGTTGGATTTAAACTGGATTTTTTTCTCCTACGGGAAATCCCACATATCTGAAGGTACCAAGTTAGCTAAGGGAAGTATCTTCTATTCTTTTTCACATGTCTGTTTAGAAATAGTGCAAACACTGACACGAGACACGTAAGAAGTTAGAAATTGCTATCTTATAAAGATAGTAAGTGCAGTTAATAAAAGCTAGGGTATACTGGGATCTAACAGAGTGAAAATAAATTCCAAACAGATGAATTTTTTTTCTAGAACACATTAGTTTATATATGGAACTTCTTTTTATATAGCAGTTATCTATCTATAAATAGATAGATGTAAATATATACACATATTATACATAACAAAAGATATACAATATTTATATTGTATAATAATAATTACATATTAACACTTTAAAATAAGCTTTCCAGAAGCTTTTAAATATCAAAACTATACAGGACATAAATTTATTTTAAAGTCAGAAAGACATAGCAGTGGAAAAAGGCTTCTTCAGCGAAGGAAATCAATAAATGTGGACTTTGGTATATAACAAATCCAGATAATGGCAGAATTTTCCAAGCAGCTCTTCTTTAGCCGGCATGCAAACAAAGATGTAAATCCAGTGGTTGTAATGTATGCATGGCATTTTATACATGCAGGTTCTTCATCATTCAGATTTTTGTTTCTGGTCCCTCAGCAATCAGAGGCTGAAATGAATTTCTGATATTAGCCACTTCGGCTAAACACCGATGTCCAAAGCCTTTATTGTACCAGTCTAATGAATGACCTCTGAAGGAAACAAAGAGAAAGTTTTACATCAAATTACTAGTTTCTCAGACTCATCAAACATAAAAAGTAATTCTTTGCATATTTTTGACAGTAGATACACTTATAGATCCTGTGAAGAAGTCACATTGGAAATGGGCCAAAGATTCCCCATCAGTGTTTGTTTTGTGCCTGCAGATTTGCAATAAGACAGGTCTTTTCTGTATAAGTGGCCATGTATAGATTACCCAAATCAGTGCATGTGTGTATATATTGGAGAGGGGGGAACACTTGTAACTTCTAACTTGCTTGAGGTTATACATTTTTTTCAAATACACTATTTCAATTATAAATCTGACATAGCAATTGCTTAAGTCTAAGTACTGATCTCTTCAATCATAACTGTGTTTAAAAGTGAATTCATAAAATAATTTGGGAGGAACACCCAACTACTAGAATCAATCATGAAATGACATAATAGCTCTGGAAAGCTTGTATGACCCAAGGCTAGTCAGATACATACAACAGTTATTTTATCGTATATAGTATTACTGTAGAGTAAATTTAATGAATATATGAGATCAACGTGTATCTTTTTATTTCCAGCTAAGGATGAAAGTTCTTTTAGTAATTGTCCTACTTATATTGCCAAACAATGCTCAGGAATGCTAATTGTGCAAAAAGATTGCTGACAAAGATGTTGGCATTAATCTTTGTAGAACTTACTTGAGGTCAATCCTGCAGATGTGTGTCAGTCGAGATTTTCCAGAGCCACAAGGTTCTATCAAATATTGGGAATCCAGGACAACTGCTCGCACATCTCCCATCAAAGGAGTTTCATCGTGTTCTACAGAGATAGCCACTAGCACGCACATCCCTTTAGGCAAATCTGTTCTCCAGGCCCTGTTCAGACAGGTTTTTAAGAAGAAAATGATAATTGGAGGGGCAGCACTGCAATAAAAATAATGGCATGCATGTTTGTTTTCCAGCCTTTCCCTAACTAGGGCTGTTCAGATGTGGTGGGACTCATTCCTCAGGACTTCTAATTAGCCAGCCTCAAAGCTGACAGGGTCTCTGCATCTTATAGTCTCATCAGGTCTGAAGAATGGGAGGGCACTGAGTTATGGAAAGTTGCTCAATTCTTTCAAGTGTCCTTAAATATACAATATTATAAAGGGCAGTCCTTTATTTCAAAAAGCTGTCCTTTAGATTTATTTTTCAAAAACTCACATTTGTCCTTTGTTTTGGCCACTCAACTTTTACTGTACAAATGGTACCATTCATGTGAAAAATATGGACCCTGAACTGTTTTTTTAAAAAATCACTTTATATGCACACCATTTGATTTTAGATATTTTTACTGGAATATGTGTTCTTGTAAAGTTTTCCTTGGTTTTGCTCTTCAATATTCCTTTGTAAAGCAAAGTTATAAACATAATTGAAAAAAATTGCTATCTTATGAATTGCTTTCAGATCTGCCCCCTTTTCAGGTATGTCCTCGATTTTTTCCAAGAAAATATAGTTACCATATTTTAATAGAATATAAAACCACTTCATAATTATTAGGGAAAAATACGTATTTTATTGCATAATGACCTTTTCAGGGTTATTGCCTCTATTTGTCTCATACATCTACCTATACCATACTAAGAATTATAATAGATGTGCTTCTTATTTCTTTAGTGATGTGTTATGTGAATTTATTTTACACAACTATTTGTTTCCTGTGAAAATAAATTATTTTCCAGGAAAACAACAGCTATTCTCATGGGAGTGGAGCAAATTCAAAAACTTGAGACAGCTGCATTGGTGTTATTTATGACAATATAGATTAAACAGTATATCTTGTCAGACACCTGGTTTGAGTAGCTAATAGTTAGGATTTTATGGAAACACTCCACAATAATGCAGATTACACAATGACTTGATTTTAAAATGAACTGGAAGAAAAATTAATCAATGAAGCCCCAAGAGAGATGACCATATATAACAGAGGCAGCACAGATATAGACATTTTATATAATGATATCAGTTCTTCCCTAACTGGATGCATTCCTGAGATTCTTACTTAAGTATGGCCGAGAATTGTGGGAATTTAGGTCCATCTGGAGGATTATAGCTTCAGAAAAGCCACGCTGGATTGTGAGTTAGCTATTATATTATAATTAGTTGCTTCTTTCTCTAAATTACCTGAGAACTAAAAAATCTCTAGTCGGATGGGGAGCCATACTATTCAAAACATACTGACAGATCTCGGTCTGCTTATCCAAGGTTTCTATAATTTTCCATTGTAAGAAATCCTCATCCCAAAGATGCCTTTCTCTTAGCACACGGTTCAAGACAACTGATGGAGGAGCCTCAACTTCTACAGATGCCTTCCATAGTCTTAATGGGTTTCCATCTCCAACCTCAATGAAATGGAAGAAAAGAGATTGCACATTAAATATAAAGCTGAGATACAGGTTAGAATGCACTGAAACATAGTTGTGACCCAGAAGATCCACTAATTTCTCTCTCCACCTAAAGCTATGTTGGATTAGGAGCAGACATTTTCCAGTACCAATTAAGTTTGGAATCCCTGAATTAAGGATCTAACTGAAATGTGAGAATTTAATTCCATTTAATTCCAGGAAGTAGTCAATTCCATGACAGCTTCTGTCAGGCCAAGATATAAAATGGTTCTACAACTGAAAATACAGGATAAGCAGTACAGGTATGGTCATTTAATGACCATTCAAAGTTATGATGTCTTTAGGAAGGGAGGTTTATGGCCCATAAAGTACTTCTGGCTGTCATAAAACATCACATTGCCTTAGCTGGTCACTTGATCATATTTTGGGTACTGGCAACCAACTCACATTTACAACCGGTTGCAGTGTCCTGCAGTTACATGACTGTGATTTGTGACTTTCTTTGTTGATTGTCAGCAAAAAACATCCCTTTGGAAGAATGGATTCAGATTTATGACTATATGATTCACTTAATGACTGCTGTAAAAACAGATAGAAGGTGCCTCGATTTACAACTGCAATGACTTATGGCTGAACTTTTAGTCCCAACTGTGGTTGTAAGTTGAAACTATCTATAATGAATATAGAGACATTACAAATATATCAGCTAAATCAGGATAACTCTTCTTATTGTGCCTTAATGCTACATTTTTCAATCCATATTGGCAACATCAAGGGGCACTTCCAAACAAGGTTTAATATTGTGCCATTTTCCAGCCTTGTTTACGTAATTGTACATGGGAGCTGAAAGACAGCATCCCCCACTAACAAGGTACGTGCGTTTTCCATTAAAAAAGCATCAAAAAGCTGCATGAAAAGTTTGGATTAATAATATAGAAGTCCTATATCTGGAAGCACCTAAAATCTTGTTTTTTCTTTGGGATAAAATATGGTTTTATTTTAAAAACCCCATTTCAGTGTACAGTATGTTGGCATGTTGGATAACGTTTTTCAGTAAAGATGGAAACTATTGATTATCAAAACTAATGTGCAGAAGTAAACAGATTATTTTAGCTTCAAAATTACTTTTTTGTAACAGAGGTCTGTATTTTCTATGCTGGAACAAGTCACCCATCCTTTGAATTTGTCCTTAGCATCTTTACAAAGATTCTGTATAAGACTTTCTATGTAGGTCTGATAATTCCCATTTTCTTCATCCATTTGCTTGCCCAGATCCTCCAAAGTTGGAGAATGTACTTTAGCCTCAATGTAAGAGTTCCGAGATTGGCAAAACATCTCATGTGGAATCTGCTCCAAAGAAAAAGAGGATAGGAAAAAATAATTTTATTATTGATTTACTTACTTTGATTTTTATGTTGCACCATTTCCAAACTCTCCCAGTGCCTCATGTAATAACATGAAAAAAATTATATATATCCACAAGGTAACCCCAATGTCCCAAAGATGCTTTTTCATGAGGCAACTGGACTTTTTTTTTCTTTGAAGACGTTTTGCTTCTCATCCAAGAAGCTTCTTCAGCTCTGACTGGATTATGCTGAAGAAACTTCTTGGATGAGAAGTGAAACGTCTTCAAAGAAAAAAAAAATGAAAGTCCAGTTGCCTTGTGAAAAAGCATCTTTGGGATAACTATGACCTGGATGACTGAGAATCTCCATAGATGTAACCCCAATATGTAACAATCGTTCAGACATGGGCATGGGTGCATGGAAATTTGAGGTAGTTCAGAGGCAGGGGACATAACTAAAAATGCTTAAACAGAGGGCCCATGTAAATGGTATCAAATGTAGGACCCTTAAGCTTTCTCAGCAAGTTTTCAGGAACTATCTATATATATTTAATTTACATTTTTAAATTTTCCGTACTTCCTTTCAAGATCACATGAACTCCAGCCAATTATATCTTTCACAGTCTTCCCCTTCATCCTGACTCACTTTTTTCATATATTTGTCTTGTGCTTTTTCTCATTCTCTTTATATGTTCAAACTACCTTCATATATTTCTTGCATGCCAACTATGGATAGTGGAGAAGGGTGTGCAAGAATCATAGTATGATGCAGGAAAAGTGCATGAGGGCGCAAGGGAGATGTGATAAGACAAGTTGCAAGTTATAAAGAGGACACAAGATTGTAGAGGTGCATAGCCTGGCTCAAGGAAAGTGCAGTGTGGATCAGGAGGGAGCATGGGGATGCAAAAGAGGTGTGTTGAGGGTGTGTTGGTGTGTGGAAGTGGCCAACATGGAGAAGGTGAACAGTTGGGGGAGACTTACTTCAATAATTTGTGACCTTCTCTGCAAGCTTCCCCATTGACTTTTTGGGAAAGGCAGTAGGGAAGGTTGCAAATGACGATCAAGTGATTTTGGGGCAACTGATCATAAGTGTAAATCGGTTGCCAAGCATCCAGATTGCAATCATGTGAATGTGAGAGCGCTGGGATAACTGGAACTCTGAGAATTAATCATTCGTTCAGCGCTGTCATAACTGAATTGTTGGAGGTCAAGAACTACTGTACTTGCTTTTGCCTATATTCATTTAGCACCCACTACTTCTTGACCCAATCTCTTGTTCTACCACACCACTTAAGTAAACCACCCCCTTCAATCAACTTAACTTTATATTTCTCCTGACATATCCAACACTCACTTCCATACAGCAATGGTTCTTATTCTTAGCCATTTTTTGTTTTTTCAGTGAATAATACTTGATTATAATTGACTGCATACTATCATTATCTTTTTACTAACAATGCACGTATTAAAAGATCCATCTATTCTTCCATGATTAGTTAACATTTTATTAAATACACAAATTCTATTTGCTCTAATTTTCAAGTATTCGCTTGATTTCTCTGTTAAATCTTGCCCTGTAATACATTAATTTTTGGATCCAGCCTCCGTACTGCACCATATAATCTATTTCACATTTGCAGCAGTACATAATCTCTGTCAACGGATTGGGCATCCATGTCTAATTCTCTGCTCAATGTTGAACAATTTACAAAAAAAATCATATATTTTCATGCTTGCTGTTCTTTAACCATGTACCCATACTTACTGCATTCAGCAACCAAACTTCAACTCCATATTTTCACAAAAGCTTCCTTAATTCAAGCTGATTCATTTTATTGTATTTTTTTCTAAATCAAGTCATGTGCAATACTTTTTTATCTAATAGAAATTGAATATACAAATATACAGTGGGAATACCTGGCTTGATACAAATATTTGTCAAAATGATCTTGGAATAGTAGTTGGTCACAAACTGAATCTCAACCAATATTATAATGCACCTGAAATCAATTTATGCACATGTGCCACAAAAATAATCAAAGAAATATCCCACAATATTATTCTAGTATATACGCTTTGTGCTTCATGACATTTTTCCTTAGGAATAATGCTACCTAAGTCTTTCACTTACCTCAAAAAGTCTATCACATTCAGTGATCATGTGTGCCAGTCCCTGAGTAGCTGCTAGATTTTCACTGAGATCTTTCTCATCTGGCTTCCCGGTTGTGTACTTCTTTTGTATTACTCTGCAGATCAATTCAGTGTTTTAAATAAGATAAAAGCAAAGGCTGTTCTTGAGTTGACAGTAAAAGCTAAAATGCATATACCTTTTTTTCATATCAAGCTACACATAGTTCAAGACAATATCCTTTTATCACATTATACAGGCGAGGGAACACCCTGTTTATTGTTGGAAAAAAGATATGCCTTAACTATTCTCAAAGTACAAAGTAATAAAAAAACACTTAAAATAGACTTCTTTGTGTATTACAGAAGGAAGGTCAGCAAAAAATGTTTACTGGGGCAAATCAAAGAACGATTTTGCTTTATCTGAATGATTGCTATTACTATATTAATTAAGCAACAATAATAGAAAAGCACACCCTGTTTTGAAAAAAACTGGGTTTTTTTCCAGATAAGTACATTTAGCCTTGAACAGATAATCTAACACATACACACACAGACTTCTGAAATGCAATAAGTAATTCAACAGTATCTTAATAAGCCTATCATTATTGCTATTATTGTGGCAGATAAAAGTGCCCTGTATTTGTCAGAACTGTCGCTAGGGATTTGCTCCATGGCAACTCAGGATAAGGACTTCTATTGAAACCACAATCCCTTACTGCTAATTCACAATATATATGCTTATATTCTTGAGCAGTAATAACAGTCAATTTGCCAAGGGGATACTCCAGCGAATGTAAACACCACCTCAAACATGAATATTAGACAATAATGGCATTACATTTAAGCCCAGAATGAAAGAATTAGAGATAACTAGTAAACAATCCCCACCGTGGCGAGCTTTCTTTCTTGATGATGTTGAGATGAAAAAGAGAAGGGGCCAGACACACTGCTATATTCATGGAAGTCATTTGATTCTCTTCCACAGAGGTGACATCATTCAAGAAGCAGAGCAAGGTCTGCAAAACCTCCCGATTTTCATCTGACATCAACATTATGGCAGCCTGAACTGCCCGAAGCTGTTGTTCTTTTGGAACATCTGTAGAAAAAAAAAGATGCCATTTAATGAAATTCGATTCTAAGTACAAACAGGATCACTAGAACATCATGTGGAATTTAATCTCCCAATTCAAGATTTATTTCTGAAAGTAATCTTAGATACAGACAGGGAAACTTCTTGTTCACACAGAAAAAATCTCTCTGTGTTACTATTATTTGGTTTCTTGCTTCACACATTGTTTTAAGTCATTATTTGAGCAACACCCAATGGCCTGCTTAATCTATAATGCTAAATATTGTTCCTGATTTACAATCAAAACCAAAACGTAAGACAAAATTAAACCATGTTATGGAATAGTGCAATGTTTGAACCAGCCCATGTAGTTTAGAAAATATCTGTTTGCTTACTTTTGTATGAATTAGAAGTTCATACAAGTTAGTTGGCTGCATTATGTGCTAAGATCTAGAGCAAAGATACGGCTTTTATCTGGTTGGTTCAGGATTAGAGGATTATCCTGGTTCAAAACTGAAAGGGATTTAATCATAGAGACAACCTTTAGTTTAGCATATAATGAAAGATAGTATATTTTAGTTAGGATAGAATGAGACAGTATCCAGTAAAGGATCTTCTATAACATATTCAGACAGTTTGAACTTTCTCTAGCATTACCTATTTGCCAGTGGAATTAACACTGCTTGTGGAACAGATTCCCATGTATGGAGACACAATCCTTGAGGCAGAACTGGGGCATGCATGGAGTGAGATAGAGATATCAAGATGAATTCCCATCCTGCTAGCATAAGATCCCTTGAAACAGGAGATTCCTTCCTATTTCTTTTCAGTTTCCTTGCTAGGGAATCTGTTTATACCTCATCACATAAGCTTGTTGTTCCCCCGCACATTATGATCTCATCTGAAATATCTTTATTAAAGTGTAAAATGATAATCCTAGCATCTGCCTAAAGATACATTTGCCCTGGGGAAAATATCCATTATGTGTTATTTCAGAATCATATTGAATTTAATCCTATGTTAAGGCTCTTATATATAGAAACTGATTATTGCCTTGTATGAAGATACTCCACATGCAATAAAGCAATTAAACTGCATTATCCAGAGAGTAGCAAACATGCATTCTCAATGTTTTGACATCTACTGTTCTACTGAACAGCAACAGCATTTCCAAACAGTGTTCTCTAGATACGTTGGATGATAAATCCTTTGATCTCTAGCATGGCCACAAGGTATATTCTTTAATACAATATTCATGTACTTATTAATGTTTTTATAGATTTAAATGCAGATGCCACTGAGTCTCTGAGAACGGATGGTAAACTGTATCACCATTATTCAGTGGTTTGCTGTCAGATTCCACTAGAAACTTGGGGAGCTCTGGAGACTGCAAAAAAAAATAAATGCTGCTCTCTTTAAAAGATTGAAAGGCTTAATATTCCATAACTATTCCCTAGCCAGATGAAACAAATTCAATACATACACTGATAGATGTGGAGAAAAGTTTCTCCCAGCTTGCTCGTGAGAAGAGGTTCAGGCAGATCTCTGAAAAATTGCTTTACCATATCTGCCACATCATATGCAGACTGGTCTTCATAGCTGACATTTTCAGGAGAGCTTTCATTCATCTGACGCAGTGCTTGTATTCGTGATTTCACCCCTGACTTACGGAAAAGGCCCACCTATAATATATAGATATATAGATAATAGATTATGTACTATCATCATCACGCTGAGCCAAAATACATATTTAATTCAAGCTTTTAAAAACATCTTATCTTTTGATAATTAAATTTAGGGTTTTTTTTTCAGGGATAGAATTAGCAACAGGCTTGGGATGGCCAATAGGTTATTTCAATTCAGAAGATAATTGTTCAAACAAGATTGGTCCAGCATCCAGCCACAATTCCCGTCACAAAGGATGTCTTGCTAGCCAGCAGAAACCAGCAAAACATCCGCTGGCCTTGGCACTCATGCGAAGTCCATCTTCTAGTATTAGAGGTTCTTGTAAGTAGGAAATATCTTTTTGGGTATCTTGAATGTTGACATCTCTATTTCAATATTCTCCTTCCATTTCTGTTTGATGTTCTTGTCCATTGGCATCTTTTAACGTAACAATTTGTGGTTGGAACCTTCTCAGTTCAAAGATCTTTTCAGAAAACTTGTTTTGCTGTGTATGAATCTACAGTATAGTCAGCGTCCTTACAGATGTCATAAATACTGCTTTGTGTCTCTTCTGTCATGGTTCTTTTAAAAATACCTTTCAGAGATCTTTGTTTTTCCTGGTTTTGGCTTCTCTTCTCCTGTTGACAATTTCCACTATCCAGTTTGTCTGCCTGTTTCTTCATTTTTGATTGCCTGTTATCACATTTATCTTCAGCAATTCTCCGATCCCATTTCACAGTTTTTCTGATTCTGTATCAGTGGCATTCACAACTTCCTTATGATCCCTTCGAAAATGGGTATGTGTTCAAGACCATTGAAACTTGCTCTCCTGCTTTAAATTGGCCTGGAATTTAACATGAGCAGTTAATGAATGTTCCACAATCAGGCCGTAGTCATGAGTTTTTCCACCTCTTTGAACCATAATATAACCAATGGACATTGTACCCAAGTATTATCTTATAGCAGTGGTGGCGAACCTATGGCACGGGTGCCAGAGGTGGCACTCAGAGCCCTCTCTGTGGGCACGCACGCCGTCGCCCCAATCCTAGGCCTTCAGCTGGGTTTTATAAAACCTTTTCGCTTTAGGCCTCCGCCGCCGTGTGCAAAAAAAAAAAAAAAAGATTCAATCAGTCAATTTCAACTTCTCGCGGGGAAAAAAAGATCTTGCAAAGTTGGAATTGATTGATTGAACTTTTTAATCCCACCCAGTCTGCTGTTACCATCACAGCCATGCCCACCCAATGGGCCACACCCAGCCAATGGGTCATACCCAGCCAATGGGCCATACCCACCTGGCACTCGACGATGCATAAGTGGGTTTGGGGTTGCAGTTTGGGCACTCAGTCTCTAAAAGGTTCGCCATCACTGTCTTATAGTATTATAACCCTGTGTGGTTCTGCAGAAAGTTCCAGACCCAAAGTCACCCAATAAACTTTGTGGTTGTGGTGGTATAATAACTACACCAACTGACTCTTTTGATAGGTTACAGGACTCTGTCTAGTCTGATTTGTCTGTGACAACTTATTCACATGAGAGAACTGGTACTTTACACTACAGAGAACATGAGTATGAAGCCTGAGTTTTCCAATTTTATTTTATTTTTTAGCTTAAGCCAGAATGGGCAACCTGCAAACTCTGACATACTGTGGTCCTTAGAGCTTACCTTGACTATTGTTGTTGGAAACCAGAGATCTGCTTTCATTTTTTTATACATGAAAACAAAAAAAAAGAGGAAGAAAATGCTACCATTAAGCCCTAAAACTGGTTTAACAGTTCCAAAACCTATACAGTCCCAATCCTATAGGTGGACATAATATAGACCTTGGTCACTTTGTTTTGGCCTTGCTCACTGTAGTCTGTTACCCCATTAAATGCTGCATGTGGTTCCCAGCCATGCCTATTAGTTTAAATTTTACTATTTGCCCCAATTCCTTGAAAGAGGATTCAAGATGTTGTTTGATCATACATTATTTTATCCCCTCTTCTGTGTCCTTTAATAACAGAGTATTAAAAAATTTAATTGTAGGATATGGGAATAGGCCTATCAGATATAAAAAGTTTCACCTCTCTAATGTTGGCTTCTTGGTCTTTTCCTGGGAGCAGAATATGGTGCAGAGGTTAAGAGTATGGAATATTGATTTAATATGTGTTTTCTTCTACAACAAATGATTCTTCAAATGTGTGGGCTCATAGCTTTACAGCATTTTGTCCTTTTATAACACTTCCCTTAAAGGAATTTTCCCCAAAGCTAATTCCTTTGCACAAATCACAATTTTATTCTAAAGTGAAGCAGAGTTATAACACATGGGATGTATTAAGGTTGTTTCTCTTCATTTCATAGTGGAAGAGATGGCAAACAGTGAGAAAAAAAAATCTATGAAAAAAGTAGGCACATTTTCTTTTCCAAATTACAGTACTTAGTCTTTCTTTGCCTCCTCTGTGTGCTATCTCATTTAATATATCACACATTTGCAGTATTTGAGTTTGCAGAAGTACAAACTGCCTTTAGGGGGGCAAAAACAAAAACATTCCTACAGCCTAATGATGACTGAGCATCTTCTGTGGATACAGAATCTTGAGTGAATAATGAGGGGAAGAAACAGAAGAAAATTGTCTGTTGGAATGAAATTACAATTACTCTAATATATTGTTTGAATTTCTATGAAGTCTCAGTTCACTAATCAGTTTGTGGTTTCAGGCAGGAATGTAGATGGGTGTGGGGAGTAAACAAATCCAAGATTTCAGGCTGACAATTTAAAGTCAGGTTTGTCAAAATGGGCTGTGCCTGGATATTTTTCTCTTCAGTTATAATGGCTAATAACAAAGTTATCAACTATTATATTTTATTTATTTTTATCTCACCTTTTATTATAATAAAAGGTGAGATAAAAATAAAATAATTATTTTTATAAATAACTCAAGGTGGCAAAACATCTAATACTGCCTCCTCCTATAAATTTGAAAGTGGCCTTTCTCTATGAAGGGTCCATTCCCTGGAATAATGACTCCCCTGATAATTCAGGATACAGCTATATCTGCATCCAGATTGTAAGTGCCTTTGTGTGTGTGTACATGCATAAACATATATTATACTGAATGTTTTCAAATTATAGTAATTTTATTTGCTTGTGTTCTTGTAAATCATTTAAGATATTTTAATACAGGAAATTAATGTAGAAATAGACGTACATAAGCATGTAGCATGTAGCATTTAATTATCATAAATCCAATAGCTGAATGTTAATCATGATAAATACATTAAAAACTTTACAACTTCAGTTTACAAATATTACTAATATCTATGTTATTGTAATTACTTCCACTATGCAAAAATGCATACTAATATTCATTATTGCAAAGTTTCATGAATATTGACAGTTCTGGTTTTTTAATTATTGCAGTGACACTATGGAGAAGTGTCACCTAAAGCACCCGGGAATCATACCTTTCCAAAGAAATACTATCATTATATTGGTTGCACAGTCAGGTATTTAGATTAGATCTGGCATTTTTATCCACCTATTTGATGGTGTTAAAGGTATTGTTGCACAATATAAGCTGTTCCAAGAAAAGCTGCCTTTTGAAATTAACTGAAGATGATTTTGTCAATGCCAATGATGTTCAAGTGAAGCTTTAGATGTTTTGGGATTGCATCCAAGGTATCTATTACTATTGGTACTATCTTTGCCTTCTTTTGCCACACTTGTTTAAGTTCTATTTGCAGATCTTTATATTTTGTGATTTTATCCAGCTCTTTCTCAGTTCCTGTTTCCAGGTACTGCCATGTCCACTATCAATATTGTTTTTAATTCATTCTTATCGACAATTTTAAGTCTGGGGTCTTAAGTGGCAGGTGCTTATCTGTTTGAATCCTAATGTCCCAGAGCACTTTAGCTTCTTCTTCTTTTTATTACTTTGTCTATTTTGTGATTCCACCAGTTCTTGCTTGCAGGCAAACAGTATTTCTTGCAATTTCAATGTATCATTGTTGTACTTTATCATGTCATTGTTTGCAATCAATCTGTGCAATCTTCTTGCAGCAGCTACAGTAATTAGGTAGTCCATTGGCTTTTCAGTTTATTTGCAGAGACAGCATTTGCTGTTTATTGTTATCTTCTCAATTCTGACTTTGTATGCATTTGTTATTGGCCTTGTGCAGCCAGAATTATCCCTCTGTCTCTTTCTTCAGCGTTCCCGTTTTTAACCATTTCCAGGTCTTGTTATCTGCTTTATTATTGTTGTTGTTGTTTAGATTTGTTAAAACTATCTGACTCCAAAAAGACTCTAGATGGCTTACAAAACATCAAATGTGTAATTAAAACATAGTTGAAAACACAGCATAACAAACATAACTGATTCAGCAAAACAATAACATTTAAAAAAGAAGATGCGAAAACACAAGAACATATGCTAATATGACTGGATGTGATATGGTCTCCAAAGGGCTGATAACAATGATGAACTACTGTATTCCTTCATGATATGGAAGTATAATGGCTTACTAGCATGAAATATGAAAACTTCATAGAACAAGAGCACTGAACATTTTGCAGCTGTTATGAGTGGAAAAGCCATGTTTTAGATGAGTAAACTGCAATGGAGAACAGAACCAATCACAGTGGTAACGATAATAGCGAGGTGATTGAGTGTACCAAAACTGTGAAAGGTGGTATTATCTGTAATGTGGCACTTGAGAAAGAAGAAATGACGAAAGTATTATTGAAAAACCTATATAGGCTTAACTGATATTACATATATAGGACTAAGACTCAACTAAACCTCAGGAAGATACTTCAAACCTCCCCCTCAAAGACCGAATCAATGATACAACATTTCAAAATAGGTTATTGGGCAGGCACAGAATTTATATGAGAGTGTAACAAAGATGAAGGAGAAGAATGAATATATTGCACCAGGGTGAAGAACCAGTAGGTGGCACAAGATCAATCACAATTGTATTTTTCTTCTTTATTGGATGAATCACCGAAGCCACCTTTAGCAAATAGATGTCTAAGCTACCAAAAAGGTAACAGATAACAAAAATTAGAAGTAATGCCCTGGCTTCAGAATCTCTCTCTCTATATTCTCTCTTGCACAACAGGGCTTTTAGCTGATTCATCGCACTTCGGACTATTATAGAACTGCTAATAATGTGGCAGGAGAGTGGTGATGCTGCAGTTTGGCACTGACAGGAAGCAGTGCTCTTCTGGACTGCAGCCAGTACTGAAATGTAAACCGGCTCTTTCCTTATCATTAGAGGAGGAATATTATCTCCATGCTCTGTTAACGGTCTAGGATGCAGAAAACAAACCTCAAAACTTTTATAAAAGTAATTTTATTTTAAATACATGCACATGCATAGGCATTACAGCAGTGTGAAATATGTGTTTCTAACATGTGATCAAGCACACTATTTCTAATAATTATAGCAGAGAGAGATATGAAAGATGAATATTGGGGAAGTAGTAATTTAGATCAGAAGTCCCCAACCTTTTGGGCACCAGGGACCGGTTCCGTGGAGGAGGTTTTTCCACGGACTGGAGAGTGTACGATTTTGTGTGCTGCCTGCATCCCGCGGATGGGGCTTTGCTTGTTTGTGCGGACCGGTTGCTGGCATGCCATGGTCTGGTACTGGTCCACGGACTGGGGGTTGGGGACCCCTGATTTAGATTATGAATCTAAAGTGCATAAAAATGGAGGTCAAGAATATAAGGAGACTGTTGAATAAAATAGCTTCTAGTTGATATATTCAAAAGAGGACCTAGCACTGCAGGTTTTCACAACAAAAGATAAATTGAGGAGTCAATTATTATTACATTATTGCAGAACTACATCCATTTCAAGGGGTAAAAAAACCTCTAGCAATAAAACTGTCACAGCCTTTGGTCACAAAACTCAGCTTGGCAGACATTATATTTAGGTTTAAATTTGGTGTGAAACCCTGATAGTGGGAGAAAAAAACCTACCATGCATAGGACCAGAATTTTTATTCAACATTTTTCAAGAACTTAAAAAAAGAGGCTCAGAATGTAACATGGCAGTTAATCAGAAGCAATCAGTCAAATTTTAGGAAAATATAACCACATTTCTTGCTGTATTACATTTTTAATTAGTATCATTCCTTTTTAAAAATCTTTTTCTTCTTTGAAAACTATAGTCCAGAAATGCCACCAACACCAAGCAGTTATTACACTTAAATAGTTTTATTTAATCACATAATTCCCTAGCTGCAGTGATTACATTAAGTGTTTTGAACAGGTCACATCTACAACATTTGGTGATACCTTATTCATGTTAAATCTTTTTCTATTTAAGGTTATATAAGTCTCCAATTATGAACAATTGAGGTGGACCTCATTCCTTTTTAGGATTTTTAAAAAACACAGAGAACGCATGACTTCTCTGCACTTTCTTAGACATACTGACCCACAGGGAATTTCAATGCACAAATGTAATAAAGAAAATATGGGGTGATTGACAGAGCAGCCTGTTTCTATATGCTGCATATGTGAAAATGGATATAGAGTACTAATTTGCCATTACATCTTAGAGCAGAGAACTTGTAACTGTATCAAAGAACTGCAAAATCTATTATAGCATTTGTTTGTGATCTTGAGTTACATTAATTATAACTGAAGAAAAAGCATGGGCCCACTCTACAGATTCAAGACAACTGTTACCTTTTCCTTTGGAAAAGAAGCCCACAGTGAAAGTTAGATAACCACAATTAGTAGATGTAAAAGGAAAAGAAGGGAAGGATTAGGTAAATGAAATGAGAGGGAAAAAAATCTTAATGGGTACTCTTCGGTTATCTGAACATAATTAAATCCTGTCAAAATGATTAGTATTTTTGAGTTCTTAAAATTAATGTTCCAGGTGTTCTAGCTCTCCAAAAGTTTAAAACTCATTTCTGCTCTAAGCATATTTTCTGTATAACAGACCGAAACAAAATAATCAGACAGAAATGTTGGATATGTTAATTATGAATTCCTTCCCATATGATGGAAACAAGGAGGAAAGGGAAACTGATAGAAGTGGAGGTTGGAAACTGTTATTTTGCTGGGGGGGGGGGAGATAGTGATTTTCTCCCCAAGACGGATCCTGAGTCTGTTTGCATGTCCTACTGGAAGTGCTCTTTTTAGTCTATAAAATCCTTTCTTTTCTCTAGAAATAAAGAAGCTCCATTTTGAGTATGGTAGCAACAGAATCAATAAATAATATATTTAACCATCTTAAAATTGGTCATTCTGATAGTGATCACATTCCTGTCTTTCTACAATATCATTTCATTATAATATTTATATACAGCAGTGTGGGTTGGCAAAATAGGATGCTTTTGATCACATTTATTATATTTTGTACTGCAGGTATGCTAAATATCCCCAACAGAAGCAAGAACAAATAAAAAAAGTCCAAGTTATTTTAAAAACCTTCGGCATCTAGAAGATTAGTTGTAGATAAAGCTGTCAGATGATTTTTGTGTACTCACATATGTATCTATCAAAATGAAGAACCTACCTGATCCAGGCAATTATTACGTAAATATCGCAAGGCTTGTTGTATGCTCTGTGGAAGGGGTTGCCCTGTTCTTTGCACATGGACTATTAAAGGCACACCAAATATGTTCTTATCCTTGTAATCTGGAACCTTCATCCACTTCATGAACTTCGGGACAGACCTTAAAAATAATGATTTATGCAAATTATTTATAGGATTATTGTCTGAATCCTGATATCTTAGGTGAGTTTGAGCTGGTTGATCCTGAGGAAGCCCAGCCACCTGTGTTCTGGAGTCATTTCCCTCCTAGTTGGCTAAGGCCTTCAGGGAAATGGCATGTATCCGGATCCAAATGGTGGATAATATCTCTTTGAGGGAAGGAGTAGTACCGCCTGCCTTGAAGGAGGCAAAGATGTGCTCTTTTCTCAAAAAGCCATCCTTGGACCCAGCTGTGTTAGACAACGATTTGTCCAGTCTCCAACCTTCTTTTTGGGAGGGAGTTGATGAAAGGATAGTTGGTTCACTGCTTCAAAGGGGCCCAGATGAAGTGGCTTATCTGGACCTTTTTTGGTCTGGATTCAGGCTGGGGTATGGAATGAGTACAACTGGTTCACAAAATGTACCTGTGTAAAGGCTCCCTACTCATGACTATCACCTGCTCTTTGAGCACAAGCTATGAGTCCAGGAGAACACTCATCCCCCCCAACACTTACTGGAGAAATGCATCCCAGTGCAGAATTAAATATAGAAACCCCCAAAATGTTGAAATTGTTCTTTATCAATTCTCTTATAGACTTGCTTGTAAATTTGGGATCATTTTCTTGCATGACCCACTAGTCCGTCAATCCTTAGACAATTTTATCCTGGAATTTTAGAATGATTTTTGTCAGCGCAGCCATTCTTGGAAGATTCTCAGTTGCCATTTCAAGATTATGGATTAATAGAGACTCAAAACTTTAGAAAAAAATATAATCTCTTCTTGGCTAATAGGTTTCAGTGACTTTTTTTACACACACATCCCTCTCAATTATTCTGAAGGGGACATGACTTACCTCTGGAGTCCATATGGTTAGGACTTTTCTGTGATGAGGATATCCAAAGTTCATGATATTTATATATTGCAGGGCTTGCCCAAAATGAGTTGTGTTTGATTAATGTAGTACTCAGACACACCTGGCCCTAGTTATTCCTTTAATTGATCTGACAGAAACTACATGGATGATTACTCTTTCACACTGGCATGCTGCCTACTGGATGTTTATGAAGTAAATGAAACAAGCACTAAACTTGGGGATTTTGTTCACTTGCGTTTTTTCCTTTAGATCAATAGGACTTACATGAAGCTCTAATAACATTCAGTGGGCGAAATATGCTAAAATTCTGACAATACAAAAAGGGAGTAAATATTCCCTTTTCAGTTCAGAACTGAAGAAGCTTTTTGGATGAGAAGAAAAACATTTTCAAGGAAAAACAAGGTCCAGTTGCCTTTTGAAAAAACACCTTTGGGACAACCATGATATGGATGAATGAGAATCTCCATAGACAAGGGAGTAAATATTTTTTCACAAAATTGTAGTTATGGCAGAGAGATAAGGATAAAGAGCTCTTTAGTCCCTGACCTGCTGGGATGCCAATCGAAAAACATCTTAAAATTCTCTCACTTTGAAACCACAATTACATTCATGGAAGGCACAGTGGACTTGGAAGAAATGGTTAAATTCCCTGTAAAGACTTTTTTTTCCCTAAAGGAGTATATGAAATGCAATGACCTATTTATCATCTAATTTAGCTTTTGTTAAGCACATAATTATAAGTGCTCTACATGTATGAAATATTAGATAGCTCTTACTCATAAATTTAATTCTTCTCTGTGCCTCTTTTGCTGACTGGATATTATTGGATGTTTAGAATAGATTTGAAGCATAAGTCGCTGTAGGAACATTAATGCTATGGGAACATTACGTGATGCTTGTATTTGTTATAAACCACTAGTTACAAATCTTTAGATATTTATTATTCTGTCTTATTTTATGCAATCCCAGGAAAGTAGTATTTCATCCCTAAAATATATGCAGGTTTTACATTTTACACATTTCATTTTTTTCATCAATAATTGCTTGTGGCAATGAAACATATTCACCGTTTAGTTCAATTCACTTCTTCAACACATATGCGACAACTTAAAATTCTGTAAGTAATGGCAGAAGATTAAACTTGAAAGGTTGTATAATTAATTATCTCAAAATGTCTCACTGTGTCCATAATCTCAAATTGCATGATTTATCATGATTAAGCTACCATTTGTAAAATTATCATAAATCCTGGATGAAGCTTAAAAGGATGGATGTTGAATAAAGTTTCAGAGTTATTTTGTGCTCTGGTTCACTTATTCTAATAACAAAGGTGGGCAAACATATACACCCATACACTCATGAAAAATATAATCTAAACTTTATGAGAAAAAGGACAGTTGGCCACAGGAGTTGTGGAGATGATTAACAGGCTAAGAGTACCTACAGATAATAAGAGATGTGTAGGAGGGTTCAAATGGAGAGGATGTGCTACCAGTATCTATTCCTTGCATGCTAGAAAAAGAATTTAAGAGAGCAATTTCTCATTTGTCTCCAAGTGTTGCCTATACATGAATTTTAAACTGGTGCTATCCAGAGAAATTCTTCTTCATTTTATGAAACAACTATACTTGACAAGAGATGCCATGCTTTGCATCTAGAACATCTCAAATTTAGTACTGGCATCTCCAGTTTAAAAAGAAGCAGATGATGACAAAGATCTTGTTTTGGGATGTTACTGGTCAAAATTACCATCTAGATCCAATTAGTAAATACGTTTAAGAAAATAATACAAAAAATCATTTGCTCTAATGCAATTCCTACTATTAGCCAGATAATGTGTCCACTTAAATCATGTGATTTTAATTTTACATTTAAAATATTTCATTTCTTTTAACATTTAATTTTAAAACTGGAAGTTTGGTATGTTATAAAAAAAATAGCAACTACCAGGTAGTCCTTGATTTACAACCATTCATTTAGCGACTGTTCAAAGTTATAACAGCACTGGAAAAAAGTGACTTACGATTGTTTTTCACACTTAAAACCGTTGCAGCATCCTTAGGGTCATGTGATCAAAATTTAGATGCTTGGCAACTGGCATGTATTTATAATGGTTGAAGTGTCCCGGGATCATATAAACACCTTTTCCAAGCTTTGGAAAAGCAAAGTCAATGGGGAACTCAGATTCGCTTAAGAACCATTTTACCTCACCAACCATAGTGATTCACTTAATGACTATGGCAAGAAAGGTCATAAAATGGGACAAAATTCACTTAAGAACTGTCTTGCTTAGCAATGGAAATTTGAGGACTACCTGTAAGCTGAGGACTACCTGTAATAAATCAGTAATACTGAATCTTCTCATATAGTCCTATATTTCCATTAAAAATAAAACTGGTGGGAGACAAATCCAGATGCTTTGTTAGGAAGAATGCTGACTTACCAGAAATAAAGGAAAAGTCTAATGCATATTATGTAGGATGATGTAGAGCATCCTGGAAAGTTAGAAGAAATGGTAGCATATTTTAATTTATCTTTATAGAAATAGATGCTTGTGATCAGCCACATCAATCATGGTCACCAGGACTTGTCCTTACCATTCTAAATGTCCCTGCAAGCCCAGACAATTGTCTGCCTCTAGTTTAGCACATTTGAACCACTCATTTCTACCAAAAAATCTACAAAATGGCATACCATCAGTTATATATATATATATGAGTCATATTGAACACAGCAATTAATTCAGTGTTTTCCATTTCCTTCCTCTGCTCTATATCTGACAGCTATCAGCTAGCATAATCTTGTGATATTCTTCCGCAATGGAGCTATGGAAATACAAGTCATTAATTAAAATCCCATAATATTAGTTCAGCTAGTGTTGATTAAATGTTGCATAAGTTTATTGATGGGTTTTTTTTCTGCTTATAGAGCGGTACACAAAGGAACCCAGCTAGACCTCTAGAATTACTTTTCATGCTGTGAGATTATATCTTTTATTGATTTTGCCTGCATTTGGCTGTAAAATGAGGGTAATAATCCTTAGCATTTCACATGGCCTATTTAAATGTCAGTTAATGCAGTGAAGTAATTTAGCTGAAATATGCTACAGTAGAGCAAATGCTGAATTTTGTATGTCAAATCTGAAGCTCTATTACAAAGGGAGCCTACACTGTGTAATCCACACTGCCAAATTGTATAGTCGGGTGTACGCCTAATTAATTTTCTGGGATCAAATACCTTTGCCTCTTGAAGACATGAGATAAGAGATTGGTACGAGACATGAGATTTCATTTAGGGCAGGAGCTGGATTTGGTTGCTTTGAACCAATTCTCTTGCTTCCTGAAGCACAAGCAGAATCCATACTAAGGAACTCAAACTGAAGGCCACACTTGGAATACTGTATCCAGTTTTGGTCACCACAATGTAAAAAAGATGTGGAGACTCTAGAAAGAGTACAGAGAAGAGCAACAAAGATGATTAGGGGACTGGAGGCTAAAACATATAAGGAACAGTTGCTGGAATTGGGTATGTCTAGTTTAACAAAGAGAAGGATGAGGGGGGACATGATAGCAGTGTTCCAATATCTCAGGGGCTGCCACAAAGAAGAGGGAGTCAAGCTATTCTCCAAAGTGCCTGAAGGCAGGACAAGGAGCAACGGGTGGAAGCTAACCAAAGAGAGAAGCAACCTAGAACTAAGGAGAAACTTCCTGACAGTTAGAACAATTAACCAGTGGAACAACCTGCCTCCAGAAGCGGTGAATGCGCCGACACTGGAAGTTTTTAAGAAGAAACTGGACAGCCATTTGTCCAAAATGGTATAGGGTTTCCTGCCTGAGCAGGAGGTTGGACTAGATGACCTCCAAGGTCCCTTCCAACTTTATCATCATCATCATCATCATCATCATCATCATCATCATTATTATTATTATTATTTAGGACACTGAATCAGGACAAAGATCTTCATGTTTGATTGGAAGTTTATGAGTGCTGTAGAAAGACAGGCACCATAGCTGAAAAAAAAATGCTACCTTTTGTTTCTCTACAGAACAACCACAGTGAGGAGAGGAAGGGAAGATGGGAATGAAACTGATAGGTCTGCCTTATACTTGCTAATTATTCTTGCAGTACACACTGAATGAAATGCATAATTAAAATGTTATGATGATAGAAATATGCAACATATTTTTTTATCAGTCTGAATAAGTATTGACACTAAAAGAATCCAGGAGAATTTCTCTGGGTAGCACCAGTTTAAAATTCATGAATAGGCAATGCTTGGAGACAAAAAACGCCCCCTCCTTTATAAGACAATGGATCAATTAATGGAAGCTTTTTTAATTTAGTGATTATTTTATTGAAGACTGATAGAGGAAAAAAAATCTTTGGATGCTGGCCATTTCGAGTTCTGAATATTGTAGCAGTGTGGGGTAAAGTAAAGAGCCAGTTTTTTGGCGTGGTTAAGGTGCTGGTCTAGAAATCAGGAGAGTTGTGAATTCTAGTCCTGCCTTAGGCATGAATGCTAGGCTGGGTGACTTTGGACCGATCATTCTCTTTCAGTCCAATCCAGCTCAAAGGGTTGTTATGGGGAAAATAGGAGGCAGGAGTATTAAGTGGGTTTATTGCCTTCAGTTTATCAAATAAATATAAATATCTGAATTTATGATCACAACTGGGACTGGAATTTTGGTCACTAAGTGATGCAGTTGTTAAGCACATCATCATGTGACCAGACCTGATTTTACAACTATTTTTATTGCAGTCATTAGGTGGCTCATCATAGTTATTAAATGAATCATATGGTCACTAAGTGAATCTCTCAGTCATTAGCAAATCCAGGTTCTCAAATTGACTTTACATGTTGGAAGCCAGCTGGGAAGACTCATGTGATCAAAAATCACAATCCTGTGACCACAAAATGCTGCAATTGTTATAAATGTGAACCAGTCGCTAAACTGCAATTACATAATCATGATGGTACGATGGTTGTAATGTCAAGGATGGTCATAAGTCATTTTTTTCAAGGTTATCATAACTTCAAACTATCATTAAATGAACAATTGTAATTCAAGGACACCTGTATGTATGTTTATTCTAAAGATAAATAGATTTAATATGATAAGAATCTAATAATCAATCATATCATCTGGCTGGCATTTGAGACAAAAAAGTACAATCCAATGGAAACAAAAGAGGTGACAGAGCAGACAATAATGGGTTAAATTATTATCTGCTAGTATTAATACATTTTTGGTCTTGATCTATCAGCTGTGTGATGCAGGAAAAGACTAACTGATTTAAGGAAGTATTGACAGCTGTGATGTGAGCAACCATGCATGCTTGAAAGTTACTTTTTCTTTTGGAATCTAGAACATTCCTAGATAATTAATGTATGTGTATATGACCCTCAAGTCAATTAAAAAAAAATCAATTGTAAAATAACCATTCTTTAATATTTTCTTCCTGAACTTTGACCCAATCATTACAAATCTCTTTTTGCTAAAGCTGATTTTCTATACCAAATGTTATACTACTGAAAATATGATGAGTGTTTTCAGGCTTTATAACTAAAGAACATTTAAATTATAAAACATACTTACCATGTCCAGCCATGCTTGTTTGACAGGGAGTATTTTTCCATAATTGCTGTAAGTCGGAGCAGGGAAAATTTTTGTAGCAGATTTAACTGAGCAGCTGACTGACTGCTGATCTGGAGAGATCCTAGAGCATGGCTAAGTTGGTGAGAGATCTGGAAACTGTGCCATCGTAATCGCCTTTATATACATACAAAAAAATTGAATAAAATGTCTGATTGTCATGATAACTTTGTTTCTTATCTGTGAAGGTTTAGACGTTCCTACAGTCAGAAGATTGTAATTCCAGTATGAGTCTAAAAATTGCTTTCCTCTTACAAGATTCTTTTTAGGAAATCTATTTGTTCTAGAAATGTTATAGCGATGATAAAAATTTAAAACTGTCCTCTCTAGTAAATTCCACTTGCTCCACTTGATGCCATTCACTTCTGGGACATGAATAAACTGATATGGAATCGTCAATAACTTGAGGTACTTGTGCATCAACTTTTTATGCAGGTACAATGGACCCAATGAGTTCAAAAATATTATTCTGATGAATAAAACATAATCTAAGATGAAGTGAAAATGTCCACACTGCTAAAAGACAGTTTTATGTTGCTTAAACAAAAAGGGGGTCCTTATTCCGTTCAGTCTGCATATCACTTTGATTTATATTTATTTATAAATAAGTATGGGGATTTTTCTCTCATATGATTTAGCGATCACCTCTCATAAATTAAGTATCTCCCAAGCTAAAAAATCTACTGATCCAAACTGAATTATCAATAAATGTTGTAATTATTAATATTACCAGTGGGTGGCAACAGCCAAATTGTATTTATCCTTTAACATAAAAAATGATAACATCATTATCATACAACAATTGAGCTAAAATAAAAACCCCAGCATCTATCAAGATCTTCCATATATATATATTTAAAATCTAGATTACCACAGAGTATCAATTTGGTGTGAGAAAAAGAATCAAAATGCAATTTTCCAGAAATAGTATGTTTATACTATTCTAGAAATAGTTTTGAACTGATGTATCAGTGACAGAAAATATTGCTAATTCATTATATTTTGAGCCCAAAACAGTTCTTCTAACTGGTTATGCAAAATCCAATACCTGTTAAAAAGCTATGCATAGGTGTGTCTGATTCAAGATTCAAGAAACCAAAGTCTCTATTTTTAATTGCAACTTACTCTAGATATTGGGAATTGGAAACTCTCATAGAAATGTACAGAACAATGAAAATGTCTCCTAGGTAAGTGTATGAGAATTCTATGCAAAATATAAGGTATCCTGAAAAATATATTATTTTTTTAAGATTATTTACACACACCCCAGGGTAAGGCTATCAATATCCAAAGAATTATAATAATTTGAGAAATGTGAGGTGGAATAATACTGATTAATACATTCAGCGTGTATATGAAATGATAATTACAATTGCTATTAGCATGAATTCTAAATTATACGAGCTAAAGAATATCCCATAATTTATCCAATCATATTAATCAAGTGCATCAGAGTCACAATCAAAGTATGAAATAAACAATAACATGCCATCAGCAAATAGCACCAATTTTATTCTGCTGAACAGTGCAAAATACCATGGATATTATGATCTAGTACAGTGGTTCTCAAACATTTTAGTCTCAGGACCCCTTTATATTCTTAAAAATGATTGAGAACTGAAAGATGTTTGGTTTATGTTATATCTATGTTTGGGTTATATCTATCAATATGTATTGTATTAGGAAAAAAACAGAAATTGTAATATATTTATTTGACTTTGAAGGCCTTGAAAGGAGGACACTTTGAAAGCCAGTGATCCAGTAGAAACTAAAGGATCTAAACAAATATCAACGTGGAAATTAGATATATTTGTCTAGTACCGTATTTTTATAGATAGTAGAACCAGCTTAGTGTAGTGATTAAAACATCATGCTAGAAACTGGAAAACCATGAGTTCTAGTCTTGCCTTAGGCAAAAGTCAGCTGGGTTACCTTGGTCTAATCATTTTCTCTCAGCCCTAGGAAGGAGGCAATGAAAAACCACTTCTGAAAACTGCAAGTACCTGTCCAGGCAGTCTCTGAGAATTGAACACGATTAAATGGAAGAAAAAAAATCTTTATAGAATGACCACATAGAATCTGGATTTATTTGGTATTTCACATTTGGCTATGGTAATTTACTAATATTAATACTAATATCAAAGGCTTTTTCCATATCAAACAATATAATTTCAGCATTGCCTTTTCTGTCTTTGCTCAGATCAATCAAATCCTCCCAATCACTTTTGCTTTGGGCATTATCCACTGTTTGCTCCACCGCAGCTCATCATAGAGTTAAACCTTACTCTCAGTCTTTGAAGTAAACAAGATTCTCCATCCTTGATCTAATCCTCTTAAAAGAATGTTTCAAGTAGCTGGAAAATTTCAAACAGCTGTTATTCAGAGACTCTATTTTTATAGGATGGTGTAATTGTTGTGATTTCTGACCATTTAAGTTGGCAAGAGAATTTAGTGGAAGATTTTATGGGATTACTCTGATTTAAAATTTAAACTGTAAATTATATATTGCATTGTGAACTGCAATTTATTGCTATGATTTCGATATAGGAACAACTGCATAATTGAAAAACAGCATATTTTAATTTCCCAGTTACCCATTCCTTGAGGGAAGTGTGATCTGGTACAAACCTGTTTGGTCTGGTAAGGGATGCTCCAACACCAGAGTCTCTTCTTTCTCTGACACCAGTAGCTTCTGATTCATTGAGAGATGTTCCATCTCGGTCGGTATCACTTGGTGTTGTGTGGCCATCAGACACTGAGTTCTGTTCAAACTCTAAAGAAATTTTACTTGGTGACTGACATGATAACGACTCACATTCACCAATGGATAAAGCATTATTTTTTTGTTCTGGTAATACATTTTTTGACCAGTCATCAATATATTCCTGAAGTCCATTGACATGTTGCAAAATATCATCCAAATGAGGAAAAAGATTTTCCCTTTCCAGATCCAGAAGATCCCCTGTGCTGGCACATAAATGAGAACCTGGAACATTGTCATAAATGCTAACTCTACTTTCCTTTGAACAGGAAACAAGGGGTTTGTGTTCTTTAGATGTCTTGTTGGTTAATGAAACGCTGTCTCTCTTCCAGTTCAGGACATTGTCTGTAGGCGAGAGACTTTCAATAGAAAGTGCCTTAGGAAATGTTCCTGGTTTGTGGTCTTTGGGAATATGAAATATTAGGTTTTCTTGGGAGTGAAATTCATTTTTGCAGTTTTGATCTATCGCTTGCCTCAATGTTGCTCCTGCAAGAACATCTAGGTCTTCTAGGTACATGCCACCCCGTTTATTTGCTTCATGGTATTTGTGTTCTTTTAAGGAAGGAGTGCTTACGGCACTGTTGTTAATCTCCAGTTGGCTGCTTTCACTGCTATAATTGGCAGAAAATGGAGACCCTTGTCGGACTGGATCTTGGAGTGCAACTGTTTTATTTTGGAAGTCTCCATTCTCCACTTGCATGCAATGCATATCCTTTAAGGTTCTGGGCTCATGTTGCAGAACAGGTGTACCAATGACTGAGACACTAGTCAATCCAGAGCCTTTTAATTTTCCATGTTGTCCTTTGGGTTTTAATGTCTCCATACGCTTCAGAAAGGTTTTTGCTCTAGTTCGTGTTGTTTTCTCATTCCTGAAGTTGGGAGAGACTTCTGAAAGCTGGGAAGAAGGACCACCCTGCGCAGAAATGTTTTTGACACAGTATTGTCCTGAACAGTTAGTTTCCCTGAAGAGGCTTGTGATTCCAGACTGACTCCTATGGTCACTTCCTCCACTGCTCTCACTATGAATAGATGACACCTCAGGCTCACTCAAATCAGTAAGTACACTTTCATTGCTGGTTGTGATTTTCATTTTACTGTCCCCTTGAAAGTCATGTTTGCCTGACTGATGAATTAAGGCATCAGAGTCTTCCACTCGAGACCATCGCTGGCTTGCTCTTTGGAAAGTCCATTTATTACTGATGGCACAAAGGTCTTCTTCATCTGAGTCTTCACTCTGAAAAACAATACATAACATTTGAATATCCGTCCATCCATCCATCCATCCATCCATCCATCCATCCATCCATCCATCCACTGATAACAGGTCTGACAGATCATTTTTCATCTTTCATCACTTTTGATTTGCAGACTTTGGGCTACTAATGACATGCAACTTTTCATATGCATTTGCACACCCTTTTATCTACACTCGTCCAAACACATACCATACTATACATACATACATACATACATGCTTTCCTCCCATTCTTTATCCCCCTCTCCATCAGTAATCTGCAGATCAAGGATGTTTTGTTGCCATTAGCAATGGGAAACTAATGTTATGTTTGCTGTTGATGAAGCCATCAGCAAACCTAATATTAAGGAGTGCCAGCTAACACACACTTAGGGATGGAGAAACATTTGTAACTACCAGTTTCCAATCGTCATCAGGACATTGGGTGGTCAAAATACTTTCTCATCTTGTACCAGCAAAATCTATTTTTCTTGCCATTTACAGAGAGATAGATAAAAAATAAATATCCATCAATGGACATTCCAGAGGCTCTTCTTGTCTTAGAAATAGACGATGCAGTTTCAGCCATGGATCACAATGAAATTTCATTAAATCGTAAGGAATCTGTAGGTTTTACTGGTTCAAACTGAAAGATGTATTAGTATCTAAAGAAAGATCTAAAAATAAAGACTTTTTGAGTAGCAGTTAGTTTGATTAGAATTATAAGTTTCTTAAGAATGGCAGTGGAAGCCCAGATAGTACCCTAGTACTTTGGTTTCCTAAGATCTCATGCTATTCAGAATGTCTGAGCTGTGTTCCTAAGTTTCTATTTTTGCTGAAATCTTGGCTCTTGACACTCAAGACTGTTTCTGGACTCTAGTTTAGTTGTCCTGATTTTGTGACAAGCCTTATTTCCTATTTACACTTTTTATATGATTGACTCTGATTCTGATGTGAATTATTGACTTTCTGTATTACTAATTTGATAAGGTTCTGACTTTTTCAGGTGTCTGCTCCTAAACACAGGAGTTGGGGTCTATAGCAGGGGTCCCCAACCCCCAGTCCATGGATCAGTACTTTCTTGGTTTTTTTCTTTGAAAATGTTTTGCTTCTCATCCAAGAGTATAGGGCAGTGGTGGCAAACCTATGGCACGGTGCCAGAGTTGGCACTCGGAGCCCACTCTGTGGGCACAGTGCCGTTGCCTCAGCCTTGCCTCCCCCCATGACCCCCTCACCAGCAGCCCTCCTGAAGAAGAGTCGCCTCCGAGTGTGGTCCACGCGGAGCAGTGCAGCCAAGGACAAGGCAGCCAGGCAGCGTAGACAAGACTCTGCCCTCACACCCCATCACGCACAGTTGATGCTGTGGGGCGCGGGCAGAGGGCGTGGCTGCCATGGCGCTGCTGGGCAATCTGTGGTGGGCCCTGGAGGCGGTGAGTGGCCCTGCGGGCAGATGGACTGGGGGCGGAACGGAGGCAGGGCAGGGGGTGAAGCGGTGGCAGGGCCAGTTTTTGGGCACTCAGTCTCTAAAAGGTTTGCCATCACTGGTATAGGGTCTTGAAGTGCCAAAGCTTAGATGGCAAAGTATTGTAATAGCTAAGTAGAGTTCAATATTTTTAGAAGCACTACATTGGGAAAGGATGTGCTATAGTGGTACGTTTTCAAAATTTCTTTTATGTTTTGGTAGGAATGCAAAATAGATAAAATTCTGTTGATACTGAGTAGCTATGTAGATGCTAAACTAGTACTATGGAACCTGGCTGCATATGGGGAGGGGTAAAGGCAAATGCAGTAAAATAATGATTTATTGAATGACAGAATATTAAAGTGTCTTAATGTGCTTTGAACATCTGTCTACTTCCCTAGAGGCATCTGAAAATAGAGTACAATTACATTATTCACAAGAAACAAAGTTACTGAAGGTCCTTCTGTTATGATGCACATAAAAATTAGAGATCATATGAAGCAAAGAAATAAAATTATTATCTGGATAATTTCATATACACAGGAAATAAAAGTACAATTTTACTTAAAATAAAATTGTAAGTACTTAGATTTTCTGAAAAAAATCCTTTTGTATTGAAAAAAAGATTTCATTTCTTAATTATTTTTAGTTCTCATCTTGAGTTGTCTGTATTTGTCTTCATAGGTTGTCAAAGCTAAAATATTATGTATATTTTTCTATGAACAATTATTACTGAAAAGAATGGGACTTCAGATTAAAGGTCTGTTGGATTGAAAAGCATATCATGACATCATCCTAATTATACCTGATCCCTGATTAGCAAGATCACCCAAGTAATTTATGCCCAAAGCGGAAAATTACTTCTTTGTTCTAAGGAATTTTCACACTAAATGTTGATACAGAGACAACAGAGGAAAAGGGAAGAACACTGAGGTGTATTTTCTGAGATGTGAGTCATTGGGAGACCTAAGTTCACAGACAAATATATAATAACAAGAAGATTTGCTCTTGGTTATTTGAACCCTTGTCATCATATGATCAGACTATTGTAATTTGCTTTTACATGGGACTGCCTTCAAAGACCATTCAGGCAGTTCGTCATGCACTGGTAGAAGTATTACCCAGACTCCCCCATGTAACACCACTATTGCTGGAATTGCATGCTGTCAGTCAGCTTGTCAGTGAAATTCAAGCCACTAGATACCCATTTTTAAAGCCCAACACGGCCTAGGGCCTAGATTTTTCTGTCTTTTCCAAATAGAATCTGCCCTTCTGGTGAGATTTAGTAGAGAAGCCTTCCTGAGGTTCCACAATTGAGGGAATGCCATCAATAGGCATTTTGTGCTTGAGCTTTTTCAGAATACAGCTCATATTTTTTGAGCCTGACAAATGGTATGACTGCCTGCTTTAAATCTACTTGAAAAGGAATGAAATGAAACAGCATCGGCATCCTATCCCATCCAAATCCTTCTTATTTTGCTTCAAGCACTGCTGGCAATGACTTCTCCAGCACCAATAACAAGAATTTGTCAAGCATTTTGAGAGAGAATCCAATCTGTAAAAGGTTCCTTGGAGCAATGATCTGTACTATGCAAGTTCCTGATTAAAAAGTGCCCCGGGGAGAGGAGTGCCCTGTAAATAAAATGTTATTGGCTCCCTTACAAAAGTTTTCATATCGAACAGCATTTTCTACATTCCTTCTTAAAACCCCTTAAGCCTTAGATAACGCCTGTGTTATACAATGAGCTGTAAACATGGCAAACTTTATTTTAATAAGTCAGCACAAATGAAAGAAAATAAAGCAAAAACAAAAAAAGTCTGTTGCTTTTTATCTGGCAGGGAATCATATTGTAGGGTCACACTCAGATTATCTAGTTAACCAAACAGGCTTTCCTTGTATTTTGAAAAGACCCTTGGGAATTGTTACAATACAATCCCTTTCATTTGCTACTTTGCAGATATGTTCAAATCCCCAGATTCTTAGTGAGCAGTTAAAAAGGAGTTGGAGAAAACCATTCTCTATTTGTGTGTATGTGTGTGTGAGTGAGTGAGTGTGTGTGTATGTGTGTGTGTGGAAGGAAGATATAAACAGTACAGAAACAGGATTTGGGAATGGCCAGTCTAGAGAAAAGAAGGATTAGGGGGGACATGATAGCAATATTCCAGTATTTAAGAGGCTGCCACAAGAAGGAGGGGGGTCAATTTATTTTCCAAAGCACCAGAGGGCAGGACAAGAAACAACGGATGGAAACTGATCAAGGAGAGAAGCAACCTGGAATTAAGGAGAAACTTCCTAACAGTGAGGACAATTAACCAGTGGAACAGCTTGCCTTCAGACATGGTGGGTGCTTCATCACTCAAGGTTTTTAAGAAGAGACTGGACAGTCACTTGTCTGAAATGATATAGGGACTCCTGCTTTAGCAGGGGGCTGGACTAGAAGATCTCCAAGATCCCGTCCAGCTCTATTCTGATCTGATCTTCTTCTGAAACTAATTTTCTAGGATGCATTAGGAAAAGCATATTGATAAGTTATGAACCTTGCTTCATCATATAAGGAACAGTTGTTGGAATTGGGTATGTCTAGTTTAATGAAGAGAAAGACGAGAGGGGACATGATAGCAGTGTTCCAATATCTCAGGGGCTGCCAATAGAAGAGGGAGTCAAGCTATTCTCCAAAGCACCTGAAGGTAAAACAAGAAGCAATGGATGGAAACTAACCAAAGAAAGAAACAACTTAGAACTAAGGAGAAATTTCCTGACAGTTAGAACAATTAATCAGTGGAGCAACCTGCCTCCAGAAGCGGTGAATGCTCCAACACTGGAAGTTTTTAAGAAGAGACTGGACAGCCATTTGTCTGAAATGATATAGGGTTTCCTGCCTGAGCAGGGGGTTGGACTAGATGACCTCCAAGATCCCTTCCAACTTTTTATTACTATTACTATTATTACTATTGTTATTATTATTACTACTACTACTACTACTACTACTATCATCATCATCATCATCATCATCATCATCATAGTCAATCTTCAAAAACAAAGTGATGATTGATAATAAAAACATTCTTTCCATTTTCTTATCAATAGAGTCTATGTATTATACAGTTGGATGATGCAAAAATTACAGGGAGATAACAATTGTATTTAAGATACAACAATTAGATACAACATCCTCTGTGGCTTTGATTTCAGGAGATTTTAAGTATTTTCATTTACATAAAAAATATGAATGCGCATATACTTGCCTTTTTTCTTTGGAAGTTCAGATCAAGTTTCATTGAGGCACATTTATTCAGTGTGTTTAGTCGTCTAAAAATAAAACAAGAATCATACTGAATTTATTGAATAGCTCTTCATAATATCAAATTTAGTTCCTCCTTTGATTTGAATGCAAGATGCATAGTTAATTCCTATGAATACGCTTATATACTGTTTAAGCAAAAACAAACAAACAAACAATACCATCATCTGAGCCAGGAATCACCTACCCTCCAAGCATTTGTCTCCAGTTAACTGACATTTCTTGCTTCAGAGTTTTTGTAAAAGCACTGTGTTAATAGTCTTTCTGGATGACCAAAGGAAAGTGGCTGTCTTTGAAGGCAGTCTGTTCCAGATGAGGGGGGCTACTGTTGAGGAGACCTGTTGCTGGACCCCAATCCTTGGACACTAGGACATACTGGTATGGCAACTTGAATGATGTATCAAAATACATCACAAAAATGTCTGAACAGTTCCCACAAAAATAACAAGACTGAATATTTGTGCTTTACTATTTTAATTGCAATAAAATCTAAAAACTGAAAGTAATTAAAAGAATACCAAACGGACAGGTACAAGGGAACCAAAGCAGTACAGTAAGTACTCATGTCAGAATAGTTTACCATTTAGAATATTTTAAATGACATGTAGGAGGCAAAGTACCTTTGTATGTGCAGGAAATATAAGCCATATAAAACAAAAGCATACATTAAATCAGTGAGAAATAGAGACATACCTGTTATGAGTAGTATAACCATTCTAATGTTGGTATCTGTTCCTGAGGGCAGATCCAACAATCATTGCTGAATAAACTTTTCTCTTTATTTATTAGGTCCCTCTATTTGGTTGGCTTGGAATTACTATTTCATAACACCTGTTTTCTATAAACTCTATCTTGGTGTCCTTTTTTAAGCATGAGTTGATCTCCTCAAGATTAAATATTTAAACAATGACAGAATCCATTTTTTAAAAAGAATGCTATTTTTTTCCAACGTGAACACCTATATTTTAATGAAGGCAATAAGCCAATTTAAGCTTACTGGTTTTAAGCAAAAATAATGTCCCATCTTCTGGGGCCTTTTCAAAACTTTGAAACAGATTGCCAAAGATATGGAAGAATTTAAGTCTTTAGTTCTTCAATTAAATCCAGTCCAGTTGGATTCATTACACCCACTTGAAGTGACAATGGCAGAAGACATGATTCTCCATCTGTGATATTTGTCAGATCCTAAGCAAGACCACTTCGAGAAACACTAGTTAATAATATTTTGATCCATTTCAGGACAAACTACTTTTATCTTGTTACACGTTTAGTGTGAGAAGCTAAATAAAATTAAAATGCTAGAACACCAACAATCTTCTATAGAAAAGGTATTGTGAAATTGTTTCCTTCCAGTTTGCCAACAGAAGTAACAATTCATATATGTGTCTGGTGAACTCATTCATAACTAATACTCTTTGAAAACACAGCATGTTTTTTTTAAGGCCAACACGTTGCATTTTCCAATTACTCAGAAAGCTCAAGGTTACTTGAGGCCCAGCTTTGGGAACCAGCTGAGCTGCTGTAAACTGAGGATGAATGAAAGTCATGATTTCCAGCAGAGGCTGGTAACTATCAATATTTGTCTAAAATTTGCAGAATCCTCTGCAATGTCTAAAATGCTATAACTTTTACAAAGTATACTAAAATAATAGTGTGAAACAGAAGCACATTACCTACAAAGAGTTTCTACAAGGTCTTTGTCAAGAAAATCATGGTCTTTCTTCACAGCAGCAATATCAATAGAGAACTGGTAATCTACAAGAGAAGAGGTACTTATTTCCACAGCAACAAACACTTGACTTTGAAAAATATTGGATACATTTTCAGACAGCATAAACAAAACAAATGTTAAAATTTATTCATTAAAATTATATTAATATATTGTGTTCTGAATGCAATACAACATTAGAATAGAATATTCATTTTTCAACTTTTTTTGTAAATAAGTAACATTCAGTTCTGATCACTAGTCTAGAAAAACAGTTATTGTTCCTTCCCTGCCTGATTTTTCTACTCTCCATCCCTTTGGCTGATAAATATAGAAAGTAAAGGTTCAACGTATTTGAAGGACAAGGAATTAGGGTAGGCTACATTAGTCCAGTAGAAAGTTCTTTTACTCTTCTGCATTTACCACATCACCTTTATTAGCACTGTCTTTAATGAAAAGCACATATCAATTGTATAGTGACATCATACAAATTACTTGCCAATAAAATAACTTGAGCATATAACACTAAACATTCCATTTGGCCTTTGAAAGGCATCTGGTGGTCATTCTCAAAAAATTATGGGTGGAGCCCAGGCAAAACCTAAATTTTTTGACATTGCCAGCCAAACTATTAGGTTCCTTTTGGATTCTCCTTTTTTCAAGTTTAGAAAACACTGCAAAAAATGTTGCACATTAGTTTAGGTACATCTATACACTACTGAGCCCAAGAATATCTCAACATGCAGATTTAATTCTTTAATTCAATGCAATTTTATAGTTAACCCAAGATCATCAACAGTGTTCCTATTGATGAAATCTACCAGATTTAGTTCTCACATTTTGGAAAGTGCAGGTGTTCGTCCTTCAACAATATAACGTCAAAACAAACACAATAGTTTTTGCTGTAACTAAGATTATGGATTAACCATGGATTTATAAAACATACCTTCATAAAGTTGAGCATACTGGGGGAATCCAGCAGCCCGTAACCAAGCACAGGACTCTTTTGCTTCACGCTCTGAAGAATAAAGAAAAAACATACATCAAACAATTTATTAATACAATTGGTCTCTTAGCCAATTGTTCAGAAAACTATTCCCAACAAAGCAAGCAAATTCTGTGGAACATACTTATTTTTTTATGTGTGCTTAGAATCTTCAGGTTTGAATATTTTCATTTAAAATTCATACCTGATTTATATCAGACCAGGTGTCATGCACAATTTCAGCAACCCAAAGGGAGCAATGGAAAAAGTTACATGAAATCATACAATTTCCCTGGCGTGCATCCCAAATCATTGTGACAGTATTTTGATTGTAATCAGCGTTTTCATGGAGGGTATCACTCATATATTATTTAATATTATGTGATTATAAATAGTAATGTCTAATCTTTCTGGCAGGAATGCAGTATATAGATGGCTGATTTTGAAATTGTAAAATCTCAAAGGGAGGAGAAACAACAATGGGAGAGAGTCATAAGCGATTTTCATGAGGAGTTTGAGCAGAAGAAAAGGAAATGGGGAGGAAAATTAAAAAGCCAGGAGAAAACTTTCAAGAGCTTATACAAGAGTTGAAAAACAAGGAAGGCAGATTGGATCAGAGAGAGTTAGAACAGAAGGAAGAATCTAGGGAGGAATATGTGGTTTGTCATCCTGGTCAACCAAAAAACATCTCTTGTTCTAAAAGAATCCAGGCAAACTATGACATATAAATGGTGCTCAAACAGGAACAGATTGTCTAGTAAAGTGGCAATTTTATACACACATGGGGTAAGGGAGATGGAGGAGGTGCTTGCCAAGTCCAAATAGACCCATTACCAAAGGTTTGCTAAGATATTTAGTAGTCTTGGGGGTGAGGAGAGAGGATTTGGAAGATTAAATACAAAGCATGCTGGTAATGGTAGTTATACATTAGGAAAAGTACATATATTACTGGAAATATACACAAAATATTGCTGAAGAGCATATTCTAAAGAATTTTATTTTACCAAAATATGCATACAGTGCAAACATTATGGGAAATAAAAACTATGCATGGCAATTATTGTGTTGTCTTTTAAAAGAGGCAAAAAACTGAAACTGTAATAACTAAGGACAAGAAAAATGGGAAATTGGTAAAATTAAAATGGAAAAATATATTCATCCGTATTAGTTATCAGTCATAAATTTAATTAGCTTTGGGTAATAACATATCATTCATTATTCCTTTGCTAAAATCATGTTGTTTGTCAATATTTGTGCTCAGGTATTGTCACCTGTCTTCAAATATGTCACTATTTGTCAAAAAGTTAAGTGCTTTATGCATGTTATGTGCATATTTAGGGAATGAGTTGTTAATACTTTAAAACACTCGCAGCAAGCATATTCATAGAAGACTTCCTTTTATGATCTTTGACATGAAAATATACTTGAAATATGAACATTTGTTTTATTTCCTCTGCTTTTGATGAGACAAGCTCAGGTATATACATGTTCTTCAACCTACTCATGCATGTCTCACAAGTAGACTTAGTTATATAAATCTTCCCCACATGAGCAACTACTTGATCATAAGATTTATTATCTAGAGCTGATGAAAATGTGTATAAATTTCTACACATTATTTTTTTATTGCAAAAATATACTGTCCTGCCCAATTTCAAACAGAGCAATAAAAGAGTGATAGTATGGCATATGCATGAATGTGAGGTTATGTACATGTGCACAAATAAAAATCAGAAATTGTGATTACATCCCATCCCTGCACTGCTGAAGAAAAGGCAGTGTAGTAAAGAATGACCCACAGTGCCATCAATCTAATGTTTAAATAGCTTTTTCTAACAAAGAAAGAAGAAAGGATAGTTTTATCACAGTTCTGTGCATTGAATCTTAAAGGCTATGAAGTCAATATCATCTTTTTAGAGCCGATGCAATGTTACTCTTTCAAAAGCGGGCGAAGCTTTTCAGCAGGTAAATGTGCCTAAAAAGAAAGGCTCTGCCCATTGAGTAGCTCTAAAGTTATGTGAAGGAACTTTTGTTTTTTTCTAAGATAGATTCAATGTGGAAGAATACAATAGTTTAGATTTCATAGACAACTCAGGGTCAGTTCATTAGATTTTTCTCCAAGAATATTTCAAAAATGCTATAAGATGATAATCAGTACATAATGGTGGATAATTAATTAGTTAGATACTGTACGAATACCTGAGTGAAATGTTACACAAGATTAGCACACTCTATTATATAGGCTGCATTGAATCATATTAATAAGATTTTTACACAAAATGGAAAATACATTTCACATAATGTATTAAAACAATTCATTTCTTTCGATATAATGATAGCTTATTACTGATTCTAACGTGATGATCAGATAATATGAAACTTCCAAAGCCATTTTCTATATGTTTTTAGAGGCAAATAAGAGGAAAGGAAACCTTTCTTCATAAGGCAATCCACCCTGAATCAAAGATATCATCAAATATTGATAAAGAGTTCTGGTAAGTATATTTATAATTTGTTCCTTCTTTAGTTATGTTTCCTGAAGTGCAAAAAATCTCAGTAGTTATTTACAGGTAATCTTAGAATTACACTGGGGAATTTAGCAGCCAGATCCAAAGCTATGATGGTCAGCCCCTCTCCGCAGTCACACAATCGCACTTAGGGCACTCAGTAACCAGGCCACATTTGCAGTGTCCCATGGTCACATGACCACGTTTTATGACAGTTTTGCTGAAAGACAGTTTTACTTCCAGTTTTTGACAAAACCAGGCTATAGCAATTCATTGGCTCACTTAATAACTGCAGCATTTGCTTAACAACTGCTTCAAAAAAGGTTGTAAAATCAGGTCAGTGTGGGTGATCAGATTTACAATTGTCACAACTCACAAGTGCGATGGACAGGCTCCGTTATGGTTGTAACTCAAGGACTACCTGAAATTAGGTTTTAGTGCCTCCCAACTTCAGAATGTCTCCGGGTGGCTCATAATAATAACAACAAAAACCAATTGATTGATTAATTGATTACATGCCATTGTTGTTGTTGGCTCATAGCAGCCACATGGTTAAAATAAATAGGAAATATAATGAAGGAAATAATAGAATGACAATTTGAACACTAACATCAATACATATACAATCAATATCAGACACCTCTGATTAAGTATAGAGGAATTTTTATCCACCCTACCCCAAGGGAGAACAGCCAGATCTAAGGCTTTCTGGAACAGGATTAGAGTGGGAGTTGTCTGAAGCTCAGAGGAAGGCTTATTCCAGAGGATAGTCATATGTATATGTATGGGGTGGGGGAGAAATATAGCATAATAATTCCCCTGTATTCCCTTTAGAAAAGATGGACTGTAGCATTTCAGGTAACAGTAAATCAAATGAAGGCCTCTCAACTGAAATGAACTTCATTTTAAGTATTCCTTTTAAAAATTTCCTTAAGCTTAAATAATTTTAATTGGACTAAGTCTAATCTACTGTTGGGCAATACTTTTATTAATACCAACCCAAATGATACAAAATAACATGTATGATTTTGATCTATATTTGCAATGACTCTGCAGAAGAATAGTATTATTATATCTTTAAGGAGTTTGGCTAAGAAGATTCTTGAATGATTTTACAGTTCAAGCTATATTATTCTTAAAACCTGACAGTCACTAGCATTGCCTGAGAAGGCCTGAAGAGGCCCAACGTGGTAGCCTTTCTCCTTCTTTGGATGAAACTCCAAAATTTCCAACCAAGCTTTGCCTTAATAGCTAGGATATCTGGGAACCACAGTCAATACATTTGAAGGGACCAATCTGGAAAAAATAGAAGACATACAAGGATGGTCCAATTTTTATGAATTTATTTTTCAGTAGAGAAGATTTTAGAGCATAATAGGAAATTAGTCAACTGGTCTGAAAAGGAGGCAGAGATTCTTATAATAAATCCCAAAGAATGCTACGCTCCCTAGAAATCACATGGGAATAGTAATCTGCTGTAGTAACAGTTCAATGAAGTTTACTCTGTAGATAAGCTTTTTATTGCC